GGGTCACAAAGAGTCAAACACCACTGAGCGACTCAACAAAAACATGTGCAAGTAGCTCAGGGACTGAGGCTTGGGATCGTGTTCTGCTGTCGCTACCTTGAAATTCTTAACCATTTTTTAACAGGTACCCCACATTTTCATTTGTACCGGATTCTGCAAATTTTGTAGCCTGTCTTGCTCCTAATAATAATACCTATTACTGATATGGGCTTCCCTGGAGGCTCAGTGGTAAAGAATCTGCCTGCCAAACAGGACACATGGGTTCGATCCCTAGGTTGGGAAGACACCCTGGAGAAAGAAATGGCTACCCATTCCAGTATTCTTGCCTGGGAAATCCTATGGAGAGGAGATGGGCGGGCTACAGTCCATGGGGTCACAAAAGGGTCAGACACGACTTAGCAATTAAAGAACAGCAGCAACAACAATTGTAGCTCCAGATCTCGCTGTGTGCCGGTATGACCAGCTTCTCCTAGTTATAGTTCATATGTCCCCCACATCGGCTGGGTGTGCATTGCCTCTCTTGGACTTGGTCAGCTCAGATGATGATGTTTACTGAGAGCTAGGCATTTTTATATATGCTGACACTCCTAAGGCTCTTAGCAATGTCAGAGGTACTATGACCGTCCACATCTGATACACGAGGCCCTGAGGCCCAGAGAGGTTAAGCAACTTGCCTGCAGTCTGTAGGGTCATAAGGAGTCGGACACAACTGAGCATGTACACACTGCAGTTATGGAGCGAGTGAGGGGTCACCCGCTATTTGAATCCACGCTTACACACCCTGGTCCTCCTGCCACTGTGTGGGGAGCCCACTGAAAGTCAGGGGTCACCCCAGGAGCTCGGCTGCCCTGCCCCCGCCAGCTTCCAAGCCAGCTGTGGTGCTGGGTGCCCGGCAGTGCCCGGGTGGGTGAACTGTCAGTTTCCATTCCCTCTGCCTCCCGATCCTCTGACAGCTGCTGCGCTCTGCCACCTCCCATGCCCAGGTGCACGATCTGCTCCCCCGCTCAGGCACGGACCCGTGGGGCCAGGAAGTGTCACTTTCCATTTCTGCCCGCAGTGCTGAGCTCCCTGCGTTCCTGGCTGCAGCTGTGGCTCCAGGGACCCTGGTCCGCGGTGCCGGTTAGCACTGACATGATAACCCAGGCGGAAGAGTCTGATGCAGCTGGAAATGGGGAGGACAGACCAGCGCGCGGACACGCTGCTGGGATAAAGAGAGCAGGTTCATCAGTGAAGAACTGGGGGTCTGTGGCACACAGTCTTGAGTTCAAGTCCAAGATTTGGCACTTATCAGTCATTTGACTTGGGTAAATTACGGAATTGAATTTCAGGGTCCCTTTCTGTAAGAAGACAGCAAGAAGGAGGCATCCTGGTTAAGAACTCAGACATAACAGGGACTTCCCTGGTGGTCCAGTGGCTGAGGCTTCTTTCTCCCAATGCAAGAGGCCCAGATTCAATCCCTGGTCAGAGAACTATTAATACATTTCATAAGCTAGCAAGCTAAGCTACTTCAGTCATGTCCAACTCCGTGTGACCCTATGGACTGTAGCCCACCAGGCGCCTCTATCCATGAGATTCTCCAGGCAAGAATACTAGAGTGGGTTGGCATGCCCTCCTTCAGGGGGCACATCCCCCTGTGGCTACATCCCACATGTGGCTAATTGTTAATAAGACCTGTCAAGGCCAAATAAATAAACTTTTTAAAAACTCAGACTTGATAGACTAATGGAAATTCAAATCCTAGCTCTAGGACTTACAGCACTTGTGTGCTAAGTCCTATCACTTTGTACAGCTCATTTCAATCTTTCTGAGCCTCAGTTTCCTCGTCTGCCAAGTAGAGATAACCCCTGTGGCAACCTCATGGTGTCCTTGGAAGCCTGAGCCACTTTTCCCAGTGCCTGGAGTTTAATACATGTTCAGTAAGCCATTGTTATGACCAGGATCTCTCAGGGTCATTGCGAGGACCTGATGGGAGTGCTGGATGTCACAAGACCTGGTGCCCTGCTGGAAGGGTCTGTGTCAGGCCAGGCTGGGGAAAGAGTTGGCCAAGGGCAGGGTATCCTCCATGGCTGGGCTACAAAGAAGACAGCCCATGTCCCACCCAGAGCCCGAGCCTTGGGAACTTGTAGCTGAGCCCCAGAGGGCTAACCAGGAGGCAGGTAACTAAGGGGCTGAGCCTGGAGTGCTGAACTTACTCAAGTTCAAGACCGTGGCAGTGGTGTGGGAGAGACACAACAAGCCCGTATCAACCTGGGCCACCTCCCCCGCCTCTCAGCCACCTCTCCTTCCCCCAGCCCCCAGCCCACCCACTCTTTAAGCCCCAAAGCTGAGCTTCTAGAGCTTTACTATTCAGAGGAACCCCAAGTGGGTCCTGAGACCCCACATTTTTCTCACCGGCCCCCAAGTATACTGGTGCTGCTGGTTCAGGAACAGACATGAGTAACCAGAATCTAAAACACTGCATAAACGTAGATCATGAAAACGAACAATAATATGGGTTGTTGGGTTATTATCTGGTCTGACTTTAGTTGTGTTCAGGATCCTGTCTGAGAAATGATTCTCCCCAGAGGTCAAAGTGAACACTGTCCTCTGAAAGTCAGAGGGCACTAGGATGTGATTTTTCTCCTAGGAGCAAAGGGGAAGGGAGAGGGGGTCCTTCCAGCTTGGGTAACATGGACAGTAGTTTCCAAACTCTGGGCCACATGCCACCTTCATCTGAGCTACTTGGGGATCCTAAAAATTACAGAGGGACTTCCCTGGTGGCCCAATGGTTAAGAATCCACACTCCCAATGCAGGTGGCCCAGGTTCAACCCCTGGTCAAGGAACTAGATCCTGCAACTAAGACCGGCACAGCCAAATCAAGAAAAAAATTTTTTAAAGACAAATGCTGCATGATTCCACTTAAAGGAGGCATCTAAAGTAGTCACATTCAAAGAAACAGAAAGAAGAGTGGTAATTACCAGGGCCTGGGTTGGGGTGGGGGTGGTGAGTTCTTTAATGAGTGTTGAGTTTCAGATTTGTAAGATAAGAAAAGTTCTGCAGATCTTTTTCACAACAATGTGAATTTACTTAACATGAGAAGGTACCCTGAGAAATGGTTAAGATGATAAATTTTATGTAATGTATTTTTTTAATCACAATTTTTAAAAAAATTACTGATTCTGTCCCTGATTCCTGAGATCCTATTTAGGTGTATCAAGGTAGAGCTTAAGAATCTGTTTTTTAAAGTCTCCCCCAGGGTATCGGGTGCATATCCAGGCTTGGGGACCACTGGTTGGTGGTGGGGGGAGGCTATACCCTGAATATCTCCTGAACCCGCTCACGTCTCCTGTCTCAGCCCCCTATCTTGACAATTAGAAGTCCCATGCTCCCTCTCCCTGCCTCCCTCCACCAGGCAGTCAGCTGCCTCGTGACCTTTTGAGATCACAAATCCGATCCTACAAGCTCCATCAAAACTGTTGCCCAGGCTCCCATTGCCCTTAGTACGGAGGAGAAAAAAGCACAGCCCCCGTTAGCAGAGTCCAGGAGTTAGGTTCGTTCGGAGCGTCACACCAGGGAGGCTTTGGAGCTATGGCAGAGGTGTGTACACGGGCCCCAGGGCACCAGGAGGCAGGAACTGATCCTGTATCATAGAGAGGGTGGCAGGAAAGCTTCTCTGAGAAGGAGGCATTGGGATTTCCCTTCCAGTCCAGTGGCTAGGATTCCGCGGTTCCACTGCCGAGGGCCCAGGTTCAATCCCCAGTCAGGGAGCTAAGATCCTGCAAGGGTGTTGGAGGGCAAGCTGGTGTCTGTCAGGGACTGCGGTAAAGGGCCAGCTAAGCAAAGGTTGGGAGGGGATGACCCGGAGGGAAGGAGCTGGAGGGGAGGGGAGATGGGAGAAAAATGAAAGTGGAGGTGGGGCAAGGTCTGTAAGGGGCTGAACAGGGAGGAGGTAAGAGCTGGTTCAGCTGGGATCAGTAGGGGAGAACTTCCAGGGCTGGCTCCACCCTGGCCTCATGAAGCCGTCGGATCCCCAGTGTGGATCAGTTTACCAGCTTTAGACCTAAGTGAGTCCTCACTGTCCCACACCCTCGTGGGGGCCTCCCTCTGCAAGGACACCTGTCTGGGAGGGGACACAGCCCTGTCTGCTTGGAACCCACACAACGTCCCAACTATCCATTCACACCCCTGGCTTGGCCCACTTCCCAAGGGCCTGACTCAAGTTTTTGGACCCAGTGCGTGCGTGTGTGTGTGTGTGTGTGTGTGTGTGTGTGTGTGTGAGTGAGAGAGAGAGTTTTCAGGGCTGTGTGATCACGCAGTTTCTTTGTGCATCTGTGTACTTGTGGGTGGTTTGTTAAAAGCTGGGTATGCAGCACATACGGGCTTCCCGGGTGGCGCGAGTGGTAAAGAATCTGCCTGCCAATGCACGAGACACAAGAGACACAGGTTCGATCCCTGGGCTGGGAAGATTCCATGGAGAGGGAATGGCAGCCCACTCCAGTATTCTTGCCTGGAGAATCCCATGGACAGAGGAGCCTGGCGGCCTACAGTCCACGGGGTCGCAGAGAATCGGACACGCCTGAGCCGCTGAGCACACGGAGCATTTACAAATGTCTGAATGCAATCCCTTCAGATTCTCAGTGAGGCCCCAGGGCCCTCCCAGGCCGAAAGGGGGGATTCTAGGGGCTACAGAGATATGGACCTGGCATGAGGGAGTCAGGGAGGTGCTACAGCCACCCCAGATAAGCACAAAATGCAGGTAAAAAGAGAGAGCCCACTGGGCAAACACAGCATCAGGCAGGGCCAAGCTCCCCTCTGATCTCCGTGTCTCCAGGGTCACCCCCATCACCACCTAGAGGAATTCAGGAGCGTGCATTTCAGGAGGGGCCCTTTTCATTAGAGACCAAGCAAACTCGTCCTCTGAGGCCGGGGCTTCCCTTCTGCACCTTCCTTCTCCCCTGGGGAGGTCTCTTTTATCTCCACCTCCACCCCTGCCCCCCTGTATACACATGCAGTTTCTTACCTGGAGCAGAAACAGGGTCCCACCTGGGGCCTGGTTGATCTGGTCGGCCTTGCATGGGGTCACGTGGCCCCAGCTGGAGGGACATGACAGCCACCTCAGGGCTCACGGGAGGCTTCTGTCTTTTGAAAAGGAGATGGGAACAGAGATATCCCAGCCAGCCCTGGAAAAGATATCATGTCCCATAACGGTTGGCAGGAAGGTTAATTGGACACAGCCGTAAGCTTGTTCTGACAGTGCTAAAACATCTGAAAACGTCTAGAGACACAAGGAGGAATTAAAAGGCCTGGCGAGTCCAAGGACATGCTGAACAGCACCCAGGAGTGGAAAGAGCACTGGACCGGGAATCTGAGCCCTTGGCTCCTTACCCTGACTCGGCTACTACTCGCTGGGCCCCTCGGGTGAACTCCTGCCTCGCCGGACCTTGAGAAACATTACTGTACGCGAGGCACACGGAAACCTCGCTGTGGTCCCGAGCGGTGGTACTGTCATCATCAGCTCCGTTCGGGGGATGAGGAAACAGAGGTTCCCTGGGGAGAGGTGGCTTTTGCCAGAGCTGGCAGCAATGGGTCAGGACTGGACCCCGACTCTGAGCTGAGAGCCACTCATTACACGGCAGGACTAGAAGCTGGGTGGCTGTGTCCTCTGCTCAGGTAGACATTCCCTTGGTGTCCACTAGGAGGCGCCCCAGACTTTCTCCTGGGCATCAGCACCTTCTTCCTCAGCCTGTGCGGTCTCTCCGGCTCTGAGCTAGGTGGGCCTGGGGGCCAGCTCCTGGGGCAAGGTCAGAAGGCACACTGGTCCTCCCTCTCCCTCCCAACCCACCCGTTATGGTGGAGCCTCTTTCAAAGGGTAAGGGAGAGAAGGGTAAGGGAGTGTGCAGTAGTTCCTTCCTTGGGAGGCCGATGTGTGTGTGCACGCAGGCTCAGTCGTATCTGGCTCTTCGCGACCCCACGGACTGGAGCCCGCCAGGCTCCTCTGTCTGTGGGATTCTCCAGGCATGAATACTGGAGCGGGTTGCCATTTCCTCCTCCAGCGGACCTCCCTCCTTTTCCCGAGCCAGGGATCGAACCTACGTCTCTTGCGTCTCCAGCATTGGCAGGTGGATTTTTACCACAGCCCCCCCTGGGAAGCATGCCAGATTGAGGTCAGCTACAAATGGCAGAGGCTCAGAGAGGGTTAGTAACTTGCCCGAGGTCATACGGCTAGGTGTGTCTGGTTCTAAACACGGGAGCCCGGCCCTGGTTCAGGTGAAGCTCTGCGCAGGTATACTGGACTCAGCCTGTCACGTGGCCCCTGGCAGGCAGGAAGGTCTCAGTCAGCTGGGCCTGTGAACCCTGGTGGTGACAAAGTGTCCCTCGGTCCGGGCAGTCGGGAACGGGCGTGGAGGCTTGTTAAAGGGCAGGGCGGGCACTCAGCAGGCAGCTGGTGGCTGTCCTTGACGCTGGTGTCGGCGTCTTGAGTGGAAAGTGGGGTGGAAGTGGGGGGTGGGAGCAGAGGGGGTGTGTGTCGGGCTCAGGACCCCCAGGTCACTCTGGCTTAGAATTCAGATTTGTCAGGGTACTAGGAGGAAAGGGGATGGTGCTGATGGGGGCCTGGGGTGGGGATAGGCCTTCGGGGATGGGGGTGGGAAGGCTGTCATTTGGAGAGGGGGCTTATGCACAGGATCCAGTAGCACTGGATCCAGGTGTAGCATTGACAGAAGGGGTTGGGCTAGGTCAGGTGACAGAGACATTGAATGTGGGGCTGCAAGACCCTTCTCCTCCCTGCTAGGCTTCCTGTGGTTTTTTGTTTGTTTATTTTGTTTTTGTTCATTGTGTGTGGTCTTTTTTTTTTTTTTTTTGGTTGCACAGCACAGCAGGTGGGACCTCAGTTCTCCAACTAGGGATCGAACTTGTGCCACCTGCATTGGAAGCACAGAATCTTAACCACTGGAGCATCAGGGAAGTCCCCTGCTTGGCTTTCTGAAGCATGGATGCTACTCTGACATCCAGGGTGGGAGACCTGGACCTTCCAGGAAAGTAGGGGGGAGGCTGAGTATCAGGGGAGAGAGCCTCCTTGCCTCCCCAGAGTTACAGCCAGCTCCTGCCCTCCCACCCAGTCGGGGCATCTCAGCTGGAACCCTACCCAGAGCAGGGCTGAGTCCCCTCCCCAGTTAGATGGAGACATCTAACCTGAGCCTGTGGCTCATGGCAGCAATGGTGGAGGCAGGGTCCGGCCTAGGGCTGGACTCCGGCCTCCAGGGATGGAGAGGAGCACAGCGCAGACCCCCGGGCACTTGGCAAAGCTGGGGAGACAGGAGACCATTTGCGTGCACCGTGATGGGGCTGCTCCAGGTGTGGGAGCTCCGTCTCCCCCGTCTTCCAGCAGACAGATGAATGTGGGGACATCAGGCCAGTGGAGCCGTCCTGAAAACTCTGAGCCCTTCCCCAGGCAGGTCACAGAACCTGCTCTCCCAGCCGGGGGCCCCTCCCTCTCTCCGGGCAATGTGTCCAGGGGCACCTGACTTGAACAGGCTATAAATAGAGGGATGACGGAATGCTCCTGAAGCCCAAGGGAGGGCAGGAGAAAGGGTTCTGATTCTCCCAGTGGGGCCTAGGGAGGCTTCACTGACAAGACAGTGTTTCCATGGTGAGTCTTTGGGGTTGAATAGGGGACCCCCTGGCAGAGGAGACATTCAGGCAGTTGGAGTAATCTGGCTTAATGGAGCAGGTGAGGGGCTCAGAGCCACTGGGCAAAGGCTGCAAGGGGTTACAGCAGGCGATGAAACCCAATATCCAAGAACCTTGAATGCCAGGGTAAGGGCTATGTTTTGGGAGCCAGGTCTTGCTCTCGGAGTAGGTCTGGTTTTGTGATGATGAGTCAAGAGTAATACATGAGAATAAGTTGAGGGTGAGCCCAGGGTGCCTGGAACACACTGCCAGAAAATACATGGCCAGTGGAATGGAAGAACATTACGGTGTGCTAAAGACTGCTAACTGCTCCCCAAAATCTGTGCTCCTCATCTCCTTTGCCATAGTACTCCTGTCTTTTTGCTGGACACATAACCATTTGAAATAAAGATATTTCCCAGCCTCCCTTATAGTTAGCTGTGACCACATGAATAACCTCTGCCACTAGGGTGTAAGAAATGTAAAGACAGAGGTTTTCACCCTTTCTGCCTCTTCTTTTCCACTGGCTGGAGTGTTTATGTGATTGCTGGAGCTGGAGCAGCTACTTTGGATCATGAGGTAGACACCACATGTTAAGGATGAAGCTCGAACAAGAAGGAGGTGATCTGGGTTCTGATGATTGTGGAGCTGCCACATCGGTCCTGGACTAGTCCTTCCAAATGTTGTTTGCTTGGGAGAAAAGAGATTCTATATTGTTCAACACATTATTTCTTTGAGCTTTTCTGTCTCCTTCAGCTGAACATAATTCTAAGCAACACACAGGCCAGAAGAGAACCTCGAGAACCCTTATACCCAATTGTTCTGCCACTGAAATAAATCTGTAAACAAAACCAAATGAAAAAGGAAAATCCCAGGGGGCATTTACACCTGTTAAGCTGTAACAACAGGCACGAAACAATTCTATTCCAGGTCTCATCCCTCACCCACTGGATCCTTTCCAGTCTCCCTTCCCTGTAGTTTCAATAGAACGCTTGGAAATGTACCATCTTTATGGCAGATAATATACAACATCCTGAGAGAGCTTGGTTCCCTGTGCCAGGCCCCACATCAAGACTGCCTGTTCTTCTGGATGCTGTCACTCAGGTACCCCATCCCCCAGCCGGAGAGTCACATGCCCAGAGAGGCACCAGGAGGCTGAGCCACTCACTGTTGGAGGAATAAATACAGAAGAGAAACTTTCGTTACCCCTTCGGCATGCCTGGGTGGGTCGCTTTAACCCCTTTCTCAGTGCACAGGGTTCTGTGGTCTTTTATCTCTGATCATTTGTTTCATCATGATCATGATGAAATGATCATGAAACTATGATAAGCTGCCACTTAATGAAGACCTTAAAGTGTTCAGCTGTCTCTGAGAGGACTGGTCGAGTGGTCTGCCCCCTAGGCTGAGATGGAAAGGGAGAATGCAGCCCCTGGCTGAGGATTTAATGGAGCCCTTTATGGGAACGGCCTTCTTGCGTGGCCGAAGGAGACGTTGTTAAAGGGCCCCAGAGCCGCTCTTAGGCTCATACCGCTTACTGGGTCCCCGGCAGGAGCCAGGTCGAGAAAGGGAGGCAGCTGGGAAAACATTTCTAAGCCTCCTAAGGCGGCTCAGGTCGTTCGGTCTCTGAGTCTCGTGTTTACCTTCAGTAGCGGCTTGTGAGGCTCCCAGAGCTTTCAGCCAGGCCACGCCTGCAGAGGGAGGCAGGGTGGGCCGCCAGGGGCCCTGCCAGGATGACCTGGGACTATCCTAGGACTTGCCCACTCCCTCCTTCCTGGCTGGAGTGGCAGGGAGGGCACTGCCTGGGCCGCTCCTCAGTATCCTGGCTGAGGAGGATCCCAGGGGGAGGGTCCCTCCTGGTAGTCGGGATGCAGCTTCCCAACATGGAGATGGATGGGGGATGGGAGGGGGGCTTTGCACCAGGGACAGCAGATGGAGGCAGGAGGCTGAGGCTGGTGGGGTGGGGGAGGGACGAATGAATGACTGGAGCCAAGCTGCCTCTTGGGTTTGGTCCCGGCTCCACCACAAGCTCTGGGATTCGCCCAGTGACTTATCGTCTATGAGCCTCAGTTTCCTCACCTGGACAATGAAGAAATTCACAATTCCCCTCCTCTCTGGGCCATTATGGGGATGAAATGAGTTACATGCCAAGTTTTAGGATGAGCATGTAGTGTATGAAATGGGCTGGAAGAGTATTAGCTGCTGGTTGTTTTATTATTCTTAGATATTGCAAGAGAGAAGCTCAAACGCCATGAGCCCTCTCAATGAAGGGAACTTCCGGTGAAGAATCTAAGTTCTGAGCTGTTACCTCAACACCTTTCAGCATCACCTCCCACTCTGCAAAGCTGTCTAATCACCCCAGCCCATCAGGGGAGAAGGGCTAAACCCATCCAGGGCGGCAGAGGCATGTAGTCGTTTCCAGCACAGACTCTGGGGCCAGACTGCCTGGGTCTGAACCCAAGTTCTGTCCTTCTGGAACATTCCTTAACCCCTCTGGGCCCCCAGCTCCTTATGGTGATGTAGGATAATGCAAGTGCCTCATCAGTGAGCTGTAAATGTCTCGTGAGCCAGGCTGACAGCCTGGCGCTAAGGGTGTGGGGAGATCAGGGGCCAGCGCCGTGGGACTGGCTGCCCCGGCACCCCCTGTTCCCCAGTGTGCCTCTGAGGGATTGTGCCCAGGAGCTCCAGGGTGGCTAAGAAGCGGTGCGTGTGTGCATGCGTGCGTGCGTGCATGTGTGTGTGTGTGTCAGACCTGTATTCAGGGAGGTTGCCCAGAGGGCCCACACCTGCCTCAGCAGGTGAAACAGGAGATTCAGGCTCCACCCCGCCCAGCTGGAGGCCCCTTCCACAGGGGGCATGGGGTGGGTGCCCAGCTGGCTGCC